CACTTAATCTGTTCTGATAAAATAATTCATTTAATCCCAGAAAGAAACTCTGGTACTATAAAATGTACTTTTAGCTTGTTTATTTAGGAAGAGATCATGCTGACCATTTTCCTTTCCTATATTGCACAGAGTATCTTAGCATAATTGACTGTAAGACAGTTTCAAACTCGGCGAACTTATACTAAAATGAAATCACTCAACTATCATATGTACATAATATTATTGCCTGCTATATTTTTTAGAGCATAATGCTCTAAACAGCCCACACTATGCCAAAAACCACAATCATTTAGAACAAAATTTGATATGGGTTGCCAATATCATTTAGGGCGACCAAGCTGGTCTGAGGAGAGAACCAGAGTTCTTTGTCCTATGTTGTCTGCTTCCAAAGGGAGTTGACTGGAAAAACGACATTTATATTCTCTGAATTTGAAAAATAGAAACAGCAGTAGCTTTTTACCTAATAGAACCTTAATTGTCACTATGTACTGGTGATGGTAATTTTTTCAACTATAAACCAACCTATCTATCTGCAACAGTGCTGAGTCCCCCCTACAGAAGTAGTTTATATATATATGTATATATATACATGAACAATGTACCTGTAAATTAGTCCCCATGGTAATAGTCAAGTCCAACTTTCTTTTACTAAATCTAATATGTGTACTTTACCTTGGTAAATCAGCCATTTCTTGTTATTCATATATGATTCAAAGTATTTACAGGTGTGGGAGGACAGGTATTTTGGTTTATTTCAATTTAATCAATGACATTCAAAATCCTTGTAAGAACAAATGTAGTACAACTAATAAAGATATGAATCAACCTGCAAAGGATGAATGAAAGGCATTTTTGTCTTAATCCTCCTACAGGTAATCAATTGTTTTAAACAAAGAACATATTAGGCTTTAACCATTAATTACAGATTATGAGATATCTTGACCATCTTACTTTTTAAAGAGCAAAACTTGTTTAAAGAAATGTTATACAAGGGTGTTGGTCCAACTAAAAAATAACACTTGCATATGCATTGTAAAAGTGATTTTTTTTATTTCATTTTTTATTCTCTTTTAATCTAATATCATTGCTTCATTCCATTCTCATCAAGCCAATTGAAATTCTAGAAGGAAAGACTGAAACTATTCATTAATAACATTTGTTTCCTTTCATAAGAATGAAAACTATGAATATTTCTAATATCTTACCTAATGTCCATACACATAAAATGCCTTATAAATTCAAGATTGATTTGTTTTCAAGCAACTTACAAAATATTTTAAATTTTGTATTTCCATTTAACTTAAACAACATAAGTCATTTCAAATGGGCCATACATATAAATATTAAGAAAAGATGATCACCCCTTGATCACACTAATAGTATGTATCACATCTTGTAATTTCCACTAAAAAATAGTTATCAGTTTATGTCAAGGTCTAAACCTTTAAAAACTCCACTCTTTAATGTGCATTTAAACGCTTAAAATTTTTCTTTGAAGTTTTAAGATATTTATGATCATTTACAATTTAAATGTTTTTCATTTCAATAAATAAGTTTACAGGTTCAAATTGGGTAAAATGAACTTACCATCATGTGAATATTCTATCCAGAGTCGAGAGGTCGATATAGATATAAAATTTTATAATTCCGTGTATGCAGTAAAGTCAACTGCTCATTGACAAAGTCACTGCTAATCTAAAACACCCAATTCGTCATTCTAAATTTGGTACAAAATGGGTTCAAAATGAAATAAATCAATTTTCTCGACCAAGTTTAAATTGAAATCTCTGCTTAACAAAAACTCATTCATCGTCCAGAACCGAGAGCCTTAATAATGAAAGCTTCATCTTAACTTTTAAAACTCACCAAACCAGTAATGACTTAAAATTCCGACAAAAGATGTCACAGTAACTGTCTTCATTTAATTATAAGATTGAACAGTTATCCCATTTACAGCCCCGAGAGCTGTCATACACCTGGGTTAAGCTATTTAACTAGCAGATACACATTTACAATAAACAATTGTTTACACAATTCCATGAGAGATAATAACTTAGTGATCTTCTAAAGTTTAAATATGGTATTATATTTTTACATTTGTTTTTATTGTTATGTAAATAAGTTTCTTGTGTCAATCAAGGTAATTACCATATCTTTTTTCATATTTGTAAAGGAAACCAAATCTTATTTTACATCCCTCTCACTTCAATGATGGTTCAGTTGTAAATTACTTTTCTGAAGTTAGTAAACATGGGTGCACAAACTAATCTTTACATTTAAATAATTTTATTGCCCTACAATTACATAATAATTTAGGATTTAAAAAAAAAATCAGCAGATACAACCACTGGGCAAAGGGCAATAACTCTAATTACAAATTATTCCTAGCTACATTCTGCTTTTAAGAATCAACATTCCTTTGAACACCCTTCATGTATGTCTATAATTATTCCCTCAATAGAGGGATTTCAAAGGGAAGTCTTAATAATACAGGTAATTGCTGTCTGCTAGCACATGCTTAAAATCATCTGTTCAGGTTCATTTATTTTAGGCTGTTGTGCTTTAAATACTACTGAAGATGACTTCCATTTAGTATTACAAAGTGAATATTACATAGAGAGGCAGTGTATTAGAACATATTACCATAAGTGTCCATCTTTTTCAAACTAAGTCAACTATCAAGCACTGAAAATGTCAAAGACTTGCGTAATTTGAATAATTAATGCATTCAATTGCAGGGCTGCTAGTGAACAATATATGCTTCTTTGATGTGTAATAACATTTGATGTACAAGTTTTGTTTTAATTCTTGTACTGAAGAGCATAAAATGTTTAAAGTAATAAATATTGAATTGAATTGATTATTAAAGAATAATTTTAATATCAATGATAGACCCCTTATGTAAACAAATTATCAACTGATTGACCAAAACATGGGCCTGTTGATAATAGGACAATTGTCATTATATATATGACCGGGGATATGACCCTCTTTTAGGGACATTTGAAAATAATTACCATAAACTTAAAGGAAGTAATAGTTTAATCTTGTAATCTTTAAAAAATAATCAAAAAGTGATTGTAATAAATCTTCCTGATGTTCGGTTCTTTTTAAAACAAAGTATAATTTATAGTTCCTTTCAGGTTTAAAGGTTTCACTACTTGTTTCAATGTAAACAAACATGGTTGATCTGCTGTGCTTGTTTATAAACTAAGAAAGTTTTTTTTCTGTATGATTATAAAGATGATAGAGAAAAATCTTTTTATTAAATGTTGATATCTCCCATGGATGAACTGACTTTATATGAAGGCATAACAATATATGATACATGTCTGAAAAGAGGGGGAATGCTCGTTACTTGGCACAAATATTTTGAAACTGGGGTTTTTTCTGACGACAACTTTTTGGAGGCCTGGGCACGACGACAAAATGATGCTTTACTTAAAACAGAGTTCTCAATTTTTTTTTTAGCCTGGTGGTCAATTGGACCACCAAGACAACAAATCTGGTGGTCCCACAGAAAATTTGGTGGTCCTCTTTTTGCACAAATATTTTGCTAACATGTAGGTATAAAAATAAATTAGGCCATTTTATTACAATAATTATATGGTTTCATATCAAATATTGATATACTGTGGAATCATTTATTTTTGTTATTTCCAATTTTCATTGATTGAAAAAATATTGTAGTTTCACGGTTTCATGGTTTTGCAATGGTCTGAATACAAGCTTAGAGAAAATGAATACTTCATTGAACATTTAAATCGTGGTTTACCATAACACATATTATTCACAAAAATTGGTATTCCAAGAATAATAACGAATCCAAAGTACATTGTAGTCGGGAGCTATACTAAATATCAGACAGCCTGAAAAAGAATACAAAACCGCCACAACTTATTAGTTGGACTTCAGGACCATCACTACACTGAAAATTTGTGGACCTTCTAGATTTTTGGTGATCAGGACAGATCGGATCCCCAGTTTTCAAGAAAACTGAATCTTGACAATCAATAGAATAATTATTACAATGATTTCACAGCTATATATATATTTTAATCATTTTATGTAACAAATTTTTTGAAATTTTTGTACTATATTTCTGTCAACTTTCTACTGCAAATACAGCAAAAACTTACTTTACTTGTACCTTATACCTAATCTAAACTTCCATGGAATTTGAAAAAGAAGTAAACAAAGTATGAAGCACAAAGTTAAACCTTACACAGGGCTCTAAAATAACATTTTGAATTTACAAAATTATGCTGAATTTTAGTTTTTAAGACTTCACTAGCTTATTGGTAAAGACAACTTCAAGCCATCAAATCAAATGAGGATGTCTAGCAGAAAACATGCATTGCTTTTACTATGGTTATTCATGTAGATAAATAAAAAGCTTATTTATTTTGAATTTACATAAATTTACATTAACATATATGTGATAAACTTGAAGGAAAATAAATGAAAGAAGCCCTAAATACAAACTAAACTTTCAAAATCAGTTAACTTTCTTTTTAAGAAATGTTATGGAATTCAAACCATAAAACCAGAACCAGAACTTACTAAATCATGACAAAAACCCTACTAGTTTTACTTATATACTTTATTTTATCAGAACACAAAATTTCTCAACACTAAATTTTCAGCGTTTTTCTTTATTAATCTTGTAAGAAAATTGACCAAAACATTTACTTGCACTCATGTTGATCAACAGATTTTTAAAGGTCTAAATGGAAAGCAGGTAAACATAATTTTCTATGCAGAGAATAGCTCACTTCTTTGAATAATTTTCCATCAAAATCCTTTGAAATTTTGAACCGTTCTGAGTTTTTCAATGTCATTCAAACCTAAAACTCAGAGCTACTACATGTATTCACAATTTGTTAGGTTATTTTCTTAAAACTGTCTACCTGTAAATATTGTATATAATAAGACAGTACCGTTATTAATCAAATATTTGAAAATTAAATATTTCAGATTTCCATTATACATTTACTTACTCAATATAATATATAGCACCTTCCGGGGTAACTGCCTGCTCCCAGCCTTGGGCACCTATATAAAACAAAAAATCTTTATTACTGTATTACTCATCATTCCAACTTCATGTACTTATGTAACAGTTGTACATGCAGACTTTTAATATTGTATTTTTATTTTGGATTTTCCTTCCAGTTCAATATTCATTTGTGCATTATGCATGCATGTATTTAATCCTCCATATTTCTCTTTCATAAATTCAAAGTTGAGTAAGAGTTATTCCCCTTACCTCCAGGTATGACAATATTAGATTATATATAAATTATAACTGGAGAATTTTTTTCTCAAAACAATGTTCTTATAATTTTTTTTATCATTAAGGACCACAAAACATTTCATTTTATCCACCATTCTTTAAAGGGGCATAAGCTACATTTGTACAAGATATGAAAATAAACTGCTTCGCTGAGCACAGCTATATACGCCCGCAGAAGTCCAACCGTAAACAGTTGGGGCAAAAATGGACACAATATTTAAGCTTGATTCAGGTCTGAATTTGGGTTGTAATTAAATATTTGACATATTATAGGTTTCTGAATAAAAGTAGTCAAAGATCTTGAAATTGGTTATGTGAGTTGAATTTATATTCAATTAACGATTTCTTGCTGTTGTGCAATACTTAGTAAATCTGTTGTCAGACTATAAACAAATAAAGTTCAATTAATTCTCAATGTCATATTAGAAATTTATGAAAATAAAAAGGGAGCTTACATCAATAGATATAAACAATTCACCAAAGTTTCATGAGAATTGGTGACAGCATTTTTGAGTAATTGTCTGAAAACTGGAAAATCACCCCTTTTTTTAATGAATAAAACCCTATAACTGAGAAATGTAAAATGTAAAATTTATAAAATTCCAAAAGGAGCTTACATCAATACATACAAACAATTCACCAAAGTTTCATAAGAATTGCTGAAAGCATTTTTGAGTTTTTATCTGAAAACTGGAAAATCCCCCCTTTTTTTATGAATAAAACCCTGTAACTCGGAAACGTAAAATCTTAAATTTATAAAAATCAAAAGGGAGCTCATGTCAATAGATATAAACAATTCACCACAATTCTTGCAAGTTGGTGAAAGTATTCTTGACTTGTCCGAAAAATGGAAAATCACCCTTTTTTTAATGAATAAAACCCCATAGCTCGGAAACGTAAAATCTAAATTTCATAAAAAACGAAAGGGAGCTCACGTCAATAGATATAAACAATTCACCAAAGTTTTATGCAAATTGGTAAAAGCATTTTTGAGTTAATGTCCTACATGTTGACAACGGACAGACGGACAACGGTATACTTGTGAATAATTTGACCTCATTGAACCATTGAACTTGTTTTAGTATGTTATAAATCAAATATGAGAATTTGAGTCAAATCTGTGAACATGAATTTGACAGCTAGTGCCCCTTTAAGTAATAGATTTTCTCACTATTTTTTGATGAAATTCAATTGTACCACCAAGCTTTAAATTCTAAAGAACACCACTCTTGAAGTCATTCCCCTTATCCTTTAAAACATATGTAAGGAAAACACTGCAAAATACTTTGAATGTTTATCTTATTTATTATACATGTATACAATGTTCACAAATTTTTCATTCTTCTGTATTGAAAAACTACACAAATCTAATTCTATTGACAAAACTTATTACATGCATTACATTCATTTCAAACTACTTTTTCCTTTCAATCTCAGGACAACTCTAACAAATACAAGAATTAATACTCTAACTTCTGATATTTCAAAACTAAGAATTACAGTAGGATGACAAGAGCTGACTGATCTAAATCTATCTAGAGAAGACTTTCAAATTTCAGCGTTTTTCCATACAATTCCTATGTCACAATGCTTATGTTATTACATCACAGTAAGAACCAATTGTTCAATGATGTCATAATAATGCTAATTGACCCAAGTGTAACTCATTCATAAACAAGCATTCTGAGAGTATTGCATGGCAATACATAGTCCCCTACCGGGTAAAAATTCATTATACTGGAACAAAATGCTAACTTGTTCTATAACTTGTCATGGTGTAAACAAAAAGTAAATATCATGTCAATATCTTCAAGCATGACTAAAAACAGTGTGGAAAACTGATTATACGAGTGAATTTTTCAAGTCCAAGGACCATAACTCTGCACAAAATTATTAGACTCAAACAAAAATTTGAACTTGACCTGTAACTTGTCATGATAAACTATAAACCAATTATCAATCAATATCTTATAAGCATGATGAAAAAAACATTAGATATGATTAATAGTTCCCTAAAATTAGATATGATGTAATACAGTGTATATCTATTTTCAAATTATAATCAGATATAATTAATAGTTCCAAATATTTTTTTCTTTCATTTGTCACAAAGTAATATAGATTTGTAACTTATTTATAAACTCAACAACTTTTATATACACAATGTAATGTATTGAAATATATACATTAATAAAAATAGATTATTATCTAACTAAAGGATTACTCTTCATAAGTTTTTTATATATATATATAGCATTCAGAAAATTAGTTTATACAAAATAACAAACAAACCTGTCAAAAAATTCTTCAAATAATTTAACAAAGAATGTCTTTTAAAAAATGAGTTATCTCCATTTGTACAGAAATATGGTTCAACATAGTACTCTAACATTAGATATGGTCCAGAGTTATGGTCCATAACTCTGGACTAAATCATCAGACCGGAACAAAATTCAAACTTGATCTTTAACTTGTCATGATAAAACTATATACCAAATATGAAATCAATATCTTCAAGAACGAAGAAAAAAAGTGTGGAAAGCTGATTTGCCGGACTGACGGATGGACAGACGGACAGATGGACAGAGTGCAAACCTAAAGTCCCCTTCGACTTCGTCAGTAGGGGACTAATAAAAGAAGAATGTGTCTGAGGACACGAATGCCCCCACTCAAGCTTTGCAATTTTCAAAGTTAAAAAAGGGGCATTTCTCTAAGACTCTGCCGAAATTCGAACTCTGTCTGCGTATTGTAGTTCTAAGCATTGTGTATGAGTTTTATAAAATTTCGATGTGAAAAACTTTAGTTAGAGTGCGGCAACTGAAAAATTTGCAATGTTCCAAGTTAATAAAGGGCACTGAAGTTGAACTCTACAACGGTAAACGACTCACTGCCAAAATTAAACTCTGTCTGTGTGTTGTGGTTCATAGCATTGTGTATGAATTTGCATGAGGCAAATATAACGAAGGGTGTGGAAACAAATAAATTTGCAATTTTCTAAGTTATAAAGGGCATAACACAATTAAAGCGACTCGCTGCCAAAATTGGAACTCTGTCTGAGACTTTTGGTTCTTATCATTGGGGATGAGTTTCATAAAATTTGGAAGCGGAAAATTTAATTTACAAAAAACAAAAAAATTTGCAATTCACTAAGGTTTTAAAAAGGGGCATAACTCTAGAACGGTAATTCGAACTCTGTCTGCAAGTTTTGGTTCTTAACATTGTGAATGACTTTTATAAAATTTGCATGAGGCAAACTTACACGGTAAGTAAAAGTGCAGAAACGAAAATGGGAAGGAAAGACAGACGGAAGGAGGGAAGCTCAAGGGTAACACTTAATGCCCCCTTTGCCTATGACAGGGGTATAAAAACAACTGCAGATTGGTCTATTCTTGATAACAGGTATAATTACCTTGTTCTTTCAAATCAAGGGTTTAGAGAAATTATAAAAGTATAATCAGCAACTCAATTAATACAATGTACAATGAATCCTGAAAATTTTGTCTCTTAAGTCTTTTAATCAATTTCTTATTTCCTTTCAACTGAACCTTCTGACCTTAGGAAAGAAACACAGGTGGTAATAGCACTTAAAAACATTATCTTTATATGTACATTAAGACAGCTGAAGTAGTACATGTATCTACATAATCTGTGCATCAACAAGTGGGGGTAACCTGCATTATCTAATAATGATAAAAAAAAAAATTCAAAGGAAGAATTTACTTCAACGTAAAGTTGACAATGGACGTAAAAAATATACATGTATCGGCACTCTAAATATGGATAAAACTTCCTGTTCCACACAATAATGATTTATGTATGACTTTGGATTGTTTAGAGTAGAGACCTGCTAGTCGTTAAGCCTATTTAGTGATTTCTGTCTGTCCAGAGTCAGAAACTTTGCTTGTGGTTCCTTGTTTTTTGTCTTACATGTATCTCAATGTATTTTTTTCTATCACTTTTTTTCTTATGGGGATTTTAGTGTTGCTGATAGATCTTTTATATTCTCTGTTAAATTTATTCACTAACTTCTAGACTAGTGGTGATTTATATATAAATAGCTTGACATTTGCATAGAAACCTGTCTATTGTTGAAGACTGCATGTTGAAATCCAGATGTATTTTGAATATTTTGGTGTTGTTTGGTTGCTGTCTCATTGATGTATACCTCATACCTTCTTTTATTCATATCTGTTGAAACAAATTATTGAAATAGGATGGAATGAAATGTGCTTTTTAATGAGAAATACAATTTAGCTATTTATTTATATGTTTTTAATTATTTAAGGCATGTATTGACAAATCAATTTCTACTGACTACTAAATTGTGACAAATTAATAATGATTACCTTTTGGTGAGTAATTCAATGCTTTAACAAACATGCTTTGTCTGCTTATGAAAAATGTTCATAGATGGATCAATGGACCAGGCTTTCTTACAGCAAAAAAGAGGGTGTTTTTTTCCCTGATTTTTCTAATGCCAGCCACCTCTTATTTTTACCCTCCCCCTTTTTGAAAGTCATGGATCTGCCACTGGATGTGGTGTCTTGTTCTATTTTATGCATCAATATTTAATATTATACTGGTAAACCTCTTTATTTCATCTGATTATATGTAGCACTAGACCACATTATTATGCATTAGAAATTCTAAAGAGAAAACTAAATTGTTATGTAATTTAAGACATTTAATACCTATGCCATGCTGATATTAATTAGTAGTATAATGTAACACAAATTACTTGGGTTTACTTTCATGTGTC